GGCCCAAAATTAATTAGATGTTTAAAGAGAATAAATACCGTGTCCGAAAAAGAGGAACAAATCATGTTAACTAAACATCATCACGAAGGTAAAAATAATCATCGTGGTATTGTTGAAACTTACGAATATTTAAAACGAAATTATTACTGGAAAAATATGAAAACAACAATATCGGATTACATAAATTCTTGCGATATTTGTCAACGTGCCAAGTACGGTAGACACCCACCTTATGTACCCCTAATAGTCACCGAAACCGCATCGAAACCTTTTCAAATAGTACATACAGATCTCTTTTATTATGATAAAAAAATTTATTTCATTATTATAGACTCGTTCTCAAAATTCGCACAAGCTTATCATATTGAAGGCAAAACAGCCATTCACGTATGCAAAGCATTAATAAAATATTTTTCTTCTTTTGGTGTACCAGAAAAACTAATATTAGATAACGGAACCGAATTCAATAACGAAACCGTTAAAGAAATTCTAAATTTGCACAAAATCAAAATTCATTTTACCACAGTAGCGCACCATGAATCTAATGGTATAGCAGAACGATTTAATTCAAGTTTAATAGAGCACCTTAGATTACTAAAAGAAACTTATCCAAACGACAATGACGATTTAATTAATTATGCTATCTTAGGTTATAACAATTCAATACATAGCTCGACAAATTATACCCCTTTTGAACTGACCTTTGGACATACGGACTCACGGAACCCTAACGAAATTTTTATTCCAACGGCATTTTTTACAGATTATGCTGAGAATCATAAGAAAAAACTTGAACATATATATAATGATGTAAGAAAAAATTTAGAAAATCAAAAACAAAAAATAACTGACAAAAGAAATAAGAAAGGAGACATAAATAATGATTTTAAATTAGGTCAAATAGTATTTAAACAAAATTCTCAATATCGTAGTAAGAAAAATAATAAATTCATTGGTCCATACGAAATCACTAATCTCTTAGACAGAAATAAAGTAGAAATTACCGAAAAACGAAATAAAAATAAAAAAGAAATAATCCATATAAAAGAATTAAAACAACCTCCACTTGTTACAGGTTATCCATCCACCTCTGCGGCGGAGTAACCTATCCCAAATTCCATAACCTTAATAATAACCCTGGCCTTTTGCCCTACAAATTAGGTAATGCTCAAAATAAAATAGATTTTTGGTCATTTATCCAAATCTTTGATATTTCAAACGTAGTTAAAGAGTTTGAAACAATTAAAACAAATTTTAGAAATTTACAACAATCAATATATCGAAATAATACAAATTCCAAGCCAATTGATGAATTTCAAAATGCTTGTAATCTAATAAAAAATTTAGAACAAAAAATAAGTAATCAATTAAATCAGTTAAATCCATTAAATCACAATAGAAACAAAAGAGGATTATTAAACGGACTTGGCTCAATTATTAGATCTTTAACAGGCAATTTAGATCAAGATGATGCTGAAAAGTACGATAAAGCAATAGCACTACTTTCAGAAAACCAATCAAAACTAAAAAAATTAGCTGCAAGTCAAATTACACTTTTACAAAATTCTATAAATCACTTTAAAAATAGCACGAGTACCCTGGCGCATAACGAACAAATCCTATTAAACAGAATAGAAAAAATTGAACAGTTATTAAATAATGAAAATTTTGACTATCAGTACCTTGTCACTGATACAGTTATTTCACAAATAATCCCAGTTTATCAATTAATTTATAATATTTTAGAGAAGATTGAAGTAGCCATTTCATTTTCTAAACTGAATACATTTCACAATTCAATAATTGAACCTCATGAGCTTCTAGCCGAAATAATGTTAATTAGTAAACAATTAAAAGTTAATAGACTTCCATTTGAAGGAAAATTAGAAAATATTCTAATGTTTGAGAAAATAATCGAAATTAAAAGTTACAGTAAAGGATATCAAATAATTTTTATTCTTGAAATACCCATAGTAGAGAGCGAAATTTACAGTTATTATCACATGTATGCCTTACCTACCCCAATAAAAAATTCCTTTAAAGTAATCATTCCTCAAACCAAATACCTCATTTTAAATGACCACTCCTACATATTTTTCGACGAAAAATGTGAAGAAATTACTCCAGAGGAATACTTGTGTAAACAGAACAGTCCAGTTACAATTACAGAAGATACCCCATGCGAAATTCAAATGCTCCGCTATTTCAACAACGTCACGTCTTGTGAACAGGTGCCGGTCCAGATGCCCAAATTAAGAATTCAAAAACTGGAAAAGAACCATTGGATCATCACAACCCCGAAAGAAACTGTAGCTATCCAAAAGTGCGGAATCAATAAAGACAGCATCCCCCTCCGAGGAACCTTTGTTTTAGAACTTAGTGCGGACTGTGACGTAAACATAAGTGGTACCCAAATTCGTAATTATCAAAATTATCAAAAAGACTTTAAATTAATTAACCTTCCAGACTCAAACATTAAAAATAAACTTATATTAGACTCAAAAGTTAAATTCGTGCCGATTAAATTAGATTCGATTAATTTAGATGACGTTAAAAACATTAAAAATATATTAGAAGCTCAAAAACACAAAATAAGTGAAATTTCGGAAATAATCCTTCCAAATCAACTAAGTGCTTGGACTATTTCAATTTATGTAATACTTGCAATTTTTATAATTTTTGGAATCTTTAAATTATTTCATAGGAAAGGAAGTCAAGTTCCCAAAACCAAGAGCAGAAGTCAAGAAACCCCCAATTTGGAACTTCAAAATCCTGTTGCCAGCCCCAGAATTTCCCTCTAACGGCGGAGGAGTTATGGTCGCAGTACAGCGAACTCTGTGTAACTTGATGCCAGGAGAATGCAAGCTTGCATTCTCACGTTCATTCCACCTTTCTATTATTTTATGAGAAACTATTCATTATTAATTTAGATTTCAATGTAGTAAGAGTTAATAAAATTTATATTCTTGAAATTTGTTTTTTAAAAAGTTCTTTTGGACTTAATCACATTTATTTTACACACTGTATGAGATAAGTAAAATATACACCACCATCAGCATAATTTCCTCGCGGCGAAACTGATCGTTATAATTTTTTAAAAGCGGATTTGGTGGAATTAGTCTGTCCTCAACAATCCATAATGGAGATATAAATATTATAAACCGTACTAACTTTATTGTGAAAGTATTTTAAGATTTTTTTTAAACTTGTCTAATATTTTTTACCTGGAATATAACAAATCAAGGTACAGATCTATTCTTTGTATCGTACTTATAATAATTCCGAATAAATAACTGAATAGATTCCTGAATTATCAGCAAAAATTATGGTAACTACTGTAAACAACGATAATTAAAGTTTTAATCAAACAACAAAAAATTGTAACAAGATATAAATATAAACTATAAACTACATGCACTTTGCGCTTTTTTCCATGTGCGCTTTTTTCCGTGTGCGCATATTTCCTCGTGCGGTTATTTCCTGTGCGCTTATATGTCTGTGCGCATATTTTCTGTGCGCTTATTTCCGGTCACCAAAATAAAGTATTTTGAAAATTGATTTAGAAAGACATCAAGTTTTAATTCAAGGGAGAAACTTCAAAAACGAGCTAAAATAAAGAAAAATGCGCTGTATAAAAAACGGAGAGAGATAGAAAATTGAGACAAGTACCATCGAAAAGAGACGAAAATTTACTATAAAATAAAGTATTTTGAAAATCGATTTAGAAAGACATCAAGTTTTAATTCAAGGGAGAGACTTCAAAAACAAGTGAAAATTTAGTAAAATGCCCTGTATACAAAAACGGATAGAGATAGAAAATTGAGACAAGTACCATCGAAAAGAGACGAAAATTTACTATAAAATAAAGTATTTTGAAAATCGATTTAGAAAGACATCAAGTTTTAATTCAAGGGAGAGACTTCAAAAACAAACTAAAATATAGTAAAACGCTCTGTATACAAAAACGGAGAGAGATAGAAAATTGAGACAAGTATCATCGAAAAGAGACGAAAATTTACTATAAAATAAAGTATTTTGAAAATCGATTTAGAAATACATCAAGTTTTAATTCAAGGGAGAGACTTCAAAAACAAACTAAAATATAGTAAAACGCTCTGTATACAAAAACGGAGAGAGATAGAAAATTGAGACAAGTATCATCGAAAAGAGACGAAAATTTACTATAAAATAAAGTATTTTGAAAATCGATTTAATACGACATCAAGTTTTAATTCAAGGGAGACGTCAAAAAAAAGCTAAAATATAGTAAAATGCCCTGTATACAAAAACGGAGAGAGATAGAAAATTAAGACAAGTATCATCGAAAAGAGACGAAAATTTACTATAAAATAAAGTATTTTGAAAATCGATTTAGAACGACATCAAATTTTAATTCAAAAACAAACTAAAATATAATAAAATGCTCCGTATACAAAAACGGAGCTATAGTTATCTAAATGTCTAGATAAAATTTCATTTTTAGCTTGATTATCAAGATTATTATTTGACATTAACACACCGAAATGATCTCCCAAATTTAGGTCATGTACAGATTCACAGTAGCTCTTATTATCTATATTTGTGAATATAAAATCAAATTTAAATATTGATAAAAAACCATTTATATTTTTAAATACTCTAGTCGGTTCAATATTTTGTGTATTTAATTGGTAATACTGCATTAAGTTTAAAAAATAAAGATAAGGAGTAAATAAAGAACAAATTTGAAATTCAGCCACATGCGTATTCAGCAGTGTGTATTCCGAATAGTTTGGCTGTTACTCGACCGAAAAAAATTGTATTTTAAGTTACATGCATCATTTCACAATTAAAAAGGGAGTAACAGTTTTTTTGCTTCAATCAAATATTATAAATTCATATAATATCTTGAAAACTCTTTAGAGGAATGTTACAAATGAAAAAATATATAAATATTTAAATTTTTAAGATTTTAAATAATCATTATGTACTATTTAAATATATTAAAGAAACAAACTTACTGCTGGCAATAATTTCTTTTCTCATAGCTTCCAATTCTAAAGGAGTTAACATGAATCGGCACGGCTCTGGAGCAATGTCTAGAATTATTATAATATAATGATAAATACAGAATAAACACTGACAAGTATATATTAGGAATAAAATATTGATATTGTACCCCATTTTTTGAAAGTTTCCTGCTCCGTATAACTGGACTACAATTTATAAAAATAGATGCTAAAAATATAAAATTTTGTTCTTACCACACATTTTAAATGGTTCTTCTGTGTCTTTCGATTCCTTCTTTTTTCGGCCATAGTTAGGGCCATTCCTTTTTTGTGATGGGCCTTGCTTTGGAGAAGCTGGAATTTAAAAAAAATAATCTTATTGCACAGTGTTTATCGAATACATGTATATATTAAAGTGGGTGGTAGTATATGATGTTCAAAAACGAATATGATTAATTCTATCATGAAATTTTCAGTTTTAAATATTAATTGGAATAAAGATATATAATGCTTGGCATTCTATATCTATGTACTCTTCATAGTTTAACCCACATTTTCACTGTTTTTTTTTCGGGAACAAGAGACTTAATTTCCTTATAACTCTTGATTTTTCGTGAAGATTTCAATTTTCTACACTTTTTGTAAATATTTTATCAAATTTTGAAGTCTATAGATCAATTGGTTAAGAAATGGTGATGGAATAAAGGGGCAACAATATCAAATTGTTAAAAAAACCAAGTTCAATTTTGATACATTGTAACTTCAAAAAATGTTGAAATTTTAAAATGTGGTTTCCAAAATTAGATTTCTACACTTTTTGTAAACATTTTATCAAATTTTAAAGTCTATAGATCAATTGGTTAAGAAATGGTGATGAAATAAATAAGCAACAATATCAAATTGTTAAAAAAAAACAAGTTCAACTTTGATACCTTGTAACTTCAAAAATTGTTGAAATTTCAAAATATGGTTTTCAAAATTACATTTCTACACTTTTTGTAAATATTTTATCAAATTTTGAAGTCTATAAACCAATTGGTTAAAAAAAGGTGATGAAATAAAGGAGCAACAATATCAAACTGTTAAAAACATCAAGTTCAACTTTGATACCTTGTAACTTCAAAAATTGTTGAAATTTGAAAATGTGGATTTCAAAATTATATTTCTACACTTTTTGAAAATAATTTATCAAATTTTGAAGTCTACAATTCAATTGGTTAAGAAGTGGCGATGAAATAAAGGCAACAATATCAAATTGTTAAAAAATCCAAATTTAACTTTGATACCTTAAAACTTCAAAACTTATTGAAATTTCAAAATGCCGTTTCCAAAATTAGATTTCTACACTTTTTTTAAATAGTTTTTCAAATTTTGAAGTCTACAGTTCAATTGGTTTGGAAATAGCGATGAAATGAAGGTAACAATATCAAATTGTTTTATTTTATTTTCTGAGTTAGGATTATTCAACCCCCCTTATCTCCCTGTTTTTATTTATTTATTCATTCCTTTAAAGAGCTTGATTTTTACAAAAAATTTCATGTTGATATCACTTTTCGTCTTTGATATGACTTTTTTTTTAATTTAAACAGCCCTTAACCCCATATTTTTAGATTTTATTCTCACAATAGGCTTTGTCCCTTTATAGAGCTTTATTTTTCTGGAAATTTCCAAATTGATATCAAAAAACGTTACACTGGACGAACAGATATAACCAAATTTCATAACTCTTCACAAACTATTGTGCGAAGAGTATGATAATATATTCCCCTTTTACCAATCATTATTTTAAGCTGCACTGGGTCTAAGAATTAACAAAAACTGCATATCAATTTACCAATAACGTTTTGCTTAAACATAATAACCATGGGACCAAATGTGAATATGAATAAGTATGAAATTAAATAAAACTTAGTTAAAATTATAATAAACTTGCTATTCTACACAAACATAAACAATTTAAATACTCTGCCTTTGTTAATCAAATACTATTTAATGAAAATAAACCAAAATAATAATCCTAAAAATAACACATTGGAACAATCTTAATCAGTGACCCACTATAGTCTGAATAAAAGAGTTTGTTATTTTAAAAATTTTAAATTCACATGGGGCTGCATTTATCCCTCTTACCTTAATATAAATTAAAAATACCAAGAGTGGTGTTTAATTAAAACATATTAAAAAAAAATAAACTTACTGATGCGTTCAAGATCTCTCCTGATAGCTTCTATATCTAAGGGAAAGATAATGTTCTTGCCAGTCACTGGATCAATTTCTAGAAATAAATACATTGTGTATCGAAATAGTAAAAAATATGACAATTATCTCTCATAAAAATTGTTCAAATATTATGCATTTTTCACACATTTTAATCATTTAATATACATGTCTTATATAACCAACAAACTGATATACAATCAAATATACTCTATATGATTTTTTTAAATTAAATTAACCACAACGCATTTGATTTTATAAAACTGTTTTCCTAAATTAGATACCTAGAAAATAAGTACCAAGTTTCATCAATAAAGATACAATCAAGGTTTCATTTTTAATAAAATGGATGGGTATTTTTCTCTATAAAAGAAATTAGGTTGATTCTACTTGTGAAATGAGTAAAACTTTGCAACTATAGGTCCTTTTGTTCATCCTACTGGTGTAAGAAATAAACTACACCAACAGACACTAAACCTTTCATTTGGCCGGGTGTAAAACCCACTATACTTTCCTGTCGACAATGTGGGGTCTACTGGTGGATATATTCTCCACCACCTATTTAGCAAGATTTAATTATTATACTCGACATGTATATAAGGAATAAGGAGGAAGTAAACTAGGTAAATAAGGTGGTGTAACTGGTATAATTTACACTGGTGGACACTGCACCAACATTGAAGGAAAGAAGAACCTTATGTTACAAGAATTGGTCAAATATACATATAATAGGCGACTGCGAAACACTGGCTCGCAAAAGACAGGTAATTCTTGGACAAACTCAGACCACAGTTTGATTCACATTTCACAGTACAAATTTGTACCCAAAATTGACTGATTCAGTGCCAGAGTTGCCTAAATAATTTATTAAAAGGGTCTAAATGAAAATCAAAGCATTTTACCTGTCTATTAGTAACTAGAATACTAGACGTAGGAATAGACAACTTTGGCAAGGTCAAAATTGATTTTAAAATAATAATATACAAAAACCCGAGCAAAAACCGAAGCGGAATTTTTTTGGTTAAGCAACTCTGGCACTCAATTATTAAAGACATTAAAGATATAAAAAAAAATACCGTAGATAGGTCTCTCCAACGGTTTAACTTTCTTCTTTGTTCCACTCATTACACTATTTGTAGTTAAGTATGTATAAAATTGTATATTAACTTTAGTAGTTCGTTAAGTTAAATAATTTAAATTTCAAATAAACATGTAAAATATCTGTCATAAAATATGTCGTCGTCTGTCAGTGTCACAGAACACTTGTCAGTGTTGTTCCTAGGGATTTTTGAATTGTACAACTTTCAGTGTCAAAATTGTACACTTTTACCTTCGATTGTACAACCACTAATTAATCTTCTTCTTTTTTATTGTCAAACTATGGCCTACTACTTTCCCATGCTTAAAATTCTTCTTTTTTCCAGTTTAAAATATATTTTCGATGTAAAACGGTGTACTAATTGGTCGCGAATAGCGCCAAATTTAAACTCATTTTTTTTATTAATTTTAAGGCATGCTATTTAACAAATCGTAGACTTTTAAGCGAAGAAAACCTTTTATATACCCGATTTTACATAAATATTTAGCAATTTCAAATTGTACAACATTTCTGTCTTTTTTCAAAAGTGCGTACAACAGTACAACCGCATAACTGATTGTACAACTTTTTGTACAATTGTACAACCAGGAACAACACTGGCACCAATTAGGCATTCCAACCATGTTCCAACCACAGAACACTTACTCTTAGAACGGTATATTCCAACGACCTGTCAAACAATAGGTGGCAGTGGGAAATTCTTGTATATTTAAGGTAGTAGCGACATAGTATTGCAACTTGGACGCTATTTTTATTCGAAGTAGTACTCGCCTAGCCTGCCAATTTATGAAGAAATGTATAGGTGGGTTTTTTATATATTATTTTTATTGTGTTTGACATAAAATATTTAAATGTAATCCATTATTCATGATTTTACGTAAAGTAGATAGAATACACCATATGTCGCCACCCTTAGATATACCAAACCTGCCCACTGGTAATTCATTTGTTTGGAATGCCTAATATAATATTAGGCATTCCAAACTGAATGGCTACCAGTGGGTTTTGACGGGTTATGATATGGCAAAATTATGGCAACCCTGTAGGTCTGGTGATTTGACAAGGTCAATGAAATAGATAGTTACATAGATTGATCATCCATATTTTTCAAAACAATCATAAGCTTATGCCTTGAAGTAAAAATGTAAGCAATTATTTTTTTTTAAATATCTAAAGGCTAATAATTGGTTTTAAAACACATTTTTGCTAAACCGATTCAAATTAATAAATATTTGCCAGACAATATGGCCGCTCGTAAACGACCAGCTTTGAGCAATCTATATAACTATATATGTATCATTGACCCTGTTAATGACAACATGACAACAGGGTTGCCATATCTAAACTGTCATTACCCAATGGTAGCCATTTGGACAGGTCGTTGGAATCACAAAGCACAAACATTGCGTTCGGTTTGCCACGTTCCTTTAACTCCTTTAACACTTTTAACTCCAAACGACTCTTTTAGCGTTCGGTTTAGTCCGATTAGTGACAGTTTAACACGCTTAAATGTCATTTAAAAGCACCCTAAAATTTGTCCCGCTCCAGCCCCTGACTGACCGAACTCGCCTATAGAGGTTCCACGTGAATGACCAAGGTCAAAACCGACAACTGACATACTATTTGCTCCAAACTCTAGATGGGGCTACTGATGAAATTATGATTTCTTACTCCATTTTTAAGCCTTATGGGAGAAAAACTTAACCAAAGACTCCAAAGATGTGACGTGTATTTATTTATGTTCTTGGTTAGTTTCATTTTTTCGTCTGATTTTAGTGATTTTTTGTTGGCTTTGGCTTTTGGTTTCTGTTTATAGTTTCGTCTTAGTTATTTGCAAAATTGTGATGTTTCGCTTTTTTATTTCCTACTGTTTTGCAATAATTTTGGTGCTACGTTGAAAACTTCATTGATTCACCATATATTCACCATGCATTTGCATCATAAAAAGACAAACGGGGACAACAACTAATTGATAATCAATTTATCACTGGACTAGATTCCGAAATCATTTTTCACATAAGAGAGTAATACCACCATCTGTATTTGGAAGGAAAATACCTATTTATCATTGAATGAATAGTTAAAAGGATTCACCTTTTAATACAATACCTATATTACATTTGTCCTCAGTTAAAAAGACATTTATAAAATATATAACTTTAGTGTTAATAAAATGTAATATCCTAGTCTACTTCACATTTAAATTATTGATAGGTACCTATTTTAAAGATTTGAGATTATATATCTATTTGCTCCAAGTAAGTATTCGTTAAATATGTATTATTATTTGTATTTATTTTTATCTAATAATATTTATTTAAGTTATTAATAAACATATTTTAAGAATGTTCTATTTTATTATTTATTGATATATCTTATATTTATTTAATAAAAATATGCAGAACCAACTCTCCACATTAAAAGACCCCTTATAATAAATTAATTCTTCAAATTTGGTATAATCGACCTAAATTATTTTGTAAAATAAAAGTTTCGAACTTACTAGTTCCATACTTTATTTTATAAAATAATTTATGTGGAAATCATTTAAAATTTAATTTAAAACTACTACCTACTCCTAAAAATTACAATTTGAATTTACCGCCATCTGTCAATTGTCATTTTAGTTCCAGCTCCAAACACAAGGTGGCGCTAATTTGGTTTAAAAGTTTAACATTGGCGTGGGGTCTCTAGAAGATACATGCTTTGTGGTTGGAATGCCTAATAGATAGGCTAAGTTCGGTTTGGCGTTCGCTGTACTCAGAGTGCACTCGGTATGCCTCGATTGTGGTCGCCTTGGCACTCAGAATGTGCGTTCAGTCTGCCAAGTTCCTTTAACTCCTTTAACACTTTTAACTCCAAACGACCCTTTTAGCGTTCGGTTTAGTCCACTGATCTGTATTATTTTACTGGATAGGATATAGGCTATATTTAACGTACTGAAAAATTGTTCCAACAAGGAGACCGGAAGTGCAACACTGCTGGCCGATTTGGGCAAATTATGGTGGTTTCACAGAACTGAAATTAGGGATAATTTAACATACCTAACCTATAATTTGATTAGTTTTTCTTCTTATTCTTCTTCTATTACTTTTGCGGGCGATGTCCTTCGGGAAAATTCACCCATAATTTGAGTTTTTATGAAAGAAAATATATAAATGGAAAAGTGAGGCATATTGTGTCTTCAGGAATGAACGTTTATTGTTTATTTCATAGTAATGCTATCCGATACTACCTACATAAATAGCAGATAAAGGATTAGTTGTAAAGCACCTATAGTGGAAAGAAAAATTTTTAAAACTGCTCTAGTGATTTTATATAACTTATAAGGACTACAACTAAAAAGAGATATTGGTAATAGAAATAACATCCTCGAGCTAGAACTACATAGATGATCAAATCACTTTAATGAACAAGTATGAAATGAAAATTGGTGAGTTTGCCATTGTTGCAATGGAACCAGGAAGAACAGGGATATTAATATGGTTAAAAGATGTAGAAGATCTAAACAATACCTGTGAAAATCTTTAACAGAGAGAACAATATGGATTCATGCAACTAAACCAATTAGAATTGAAACTGACTAGTGGTGTTTTCAGGAACATGATTTATATTAAGAATTTTGAAGAATAATGTAGGTAGGTAGTTTATAATTGCAAAGTTAATTATAGATGTTGAAATAAATTTTAAATTACCTACACCTGTCTAGGAAAGTTGATTAAATTTACCGATTATTACCACTGTTAGAAATTTCTAACTTCCAGGTTAATACATGGTCTTTTTGTTGTCTCTCTAACTATTTTTACACTGTACAAACCACATTGAAATTTGTGCAACTCATAAATATATCTATTCAAAAATTGTTCTAGGAAAATACTCTATGACTTAAATTTTGTGTAGACTATTTGAATGTAATTTACAATTAAATAAAGAACAAATTTAAAGGCTTTACATAATTTTTACATTTATGCAAATATTGATTTATATATTTTTTAAATGAAATAGGGGAAATCATGGGAAAAGGTGAAAAAATAAACATTTATATTTCTTGTAACATATTTATTAACGTAAAAAAGATATAAAGTACCTAATATTTTTAAATGCATTACCAACAGAGTCTTCGTTTGTGTTTTATCAATGCAGGATAGCTCAAAATGGTATGAACATAATCGCATTGCTGCACTTACAATATTAAAATTGGTCATACCCATACTCTTCGGCCATTTTCTTAAAAGCTCCAATTCTGTAGAAACCTTAAATAACAAGAACATTATTTAATTTAGTAATAATCGTTATAATTCACTTCAGTTTTTATCATTTAATCGAAAAATGTTATTTGTATTCTTGTATGCTTGTGTAAATTAGTAATTGTTTCAGTTTGTTTCGACAAAACAGATCTATTAACAAATTATTATAAATATAATAGTTTTATTTACCTATGAAGAGTAAGGATACTCTTTTTACTTCGTTTTCCACAATAAAAACACGTCTTCACTGTAACTTCTTGACACAATTAAATGACAAATGTGATAGCAAATTAAAATAGAGGTTATGTTAAATAACATCCGGTCCGCCATATTATTTGCCCAAATCGGCCAATTTTTCGGAACGTTTTTTAGGGGGCTATATCCTATCCAGTAAAATAATACAGATCAGTGGTTTAGTCCGATTGGTGACAGTTTAACACGCTTAAATGTCATTTAAAAGCACCCTAAAATTTGTCCCGCTCCAGCCCCTGACTATCCGAACTCGCTTAGAGCGTGCTCTTTTGTGTTCGGCTTGCCACAGATCACGTACTCAGAGCGCGCTCACTCTTCCCCGAGTTGGCCGATGGAGATCAGGGTATCTGTACCAATGAACTGGAGTGGGGTAGAATGCTTGTCAATAGGCTTGAGATGCGACTCTATGGGCGAAGATAGGTTATTTTTCATCTCACTCAGAAGTATTTATAATAACCATTTTCTATTTCACTTTGTTATTGTCTGATCCACCAGCTTGTGGATTGAACAATAACAATGTGAAACAGAAAATGGTTATTATAAATACTCCCGAGTGAGATGAGAAATAAAAATGGCTGCGCCCATAGAGTCGCATCTTGTTCTATTAATACAATATGCATATTGGCTTTCTACCCCACTCCAGTTCATTGATCTGTACACGGCGGTGTATCTGGATACCTATTCTCTAACTCATGGGAGCACTCCCACACTCCCATGCTCCCATGCCAACGTTGCCAAGTCGACA